CGGGGGGCCGGGGGGCCACAGGAGTGACCCCGCATGCCCCAGGCCGAGGAGCGGCTCCTGAAGAAGGTGCGGAGAAAGATCCGGAACAAGCAGTCGGCGCAGGACAGCCGGCGCAGGAAGAAGGAATACCTGGACGAGCTGGAGAGCAGGTGGGGCCGGCATTCCCGTTATCCCAGCTTTTCCCTTCTTATCCCGGCGTTCCCGTTATCCCACACGCCCGGGTGTGTCCCCGTCCCGGTCACTGTCCCCGTCTCTGTCCGGGCAGGGCGGCCGCATGCTCGGCGCTGAACCAGGAGCTGCGGAAAAAGGTCCAGGAGCTGGAGACGAGTAACGGGTGAGCACGGGATGGGCACGGGATGGGCACGGAGCCGGGAAGGGGCACCAGGAGAGGCACGGAGCTCACCCCCGTTCCCGCAGGTCTCTCCTGCGGCAGCTCCAGGCGCTCATCAAGGAAACGTCCAGCAAGCCCGCGCAGACCGGCACCTGTGTCCTGGTACGGCCCCTCTGGGACCCTCCCGGGCGCCCCGGCCCCGCTCTGGGGCTCACGGCTCCCGTCCCTCCCCAGATCCTGCTCCTGTCCCTGGGGCTGATCCTGCTCCCCAGCTCCAGCCCGTTCCGCCAGGGCGGCAGCCGGGACGGCCTCGGACCCACCGGAGGTACCGGGAGCACCGGGATGGGAGTGGGGACAGCCCCACCCGGTCCCTGCTCCCACCCATCCCATCCCTGCTCCCGCAGTGATCTCCAGGAACATCCTGACCCTGGCGCGGCGGGAGCCGGGGCCGGCCGGAGAATCCCGGTTCCCGTTCCCGCGGTGGATGTCAGGGCCGGCCGGAGAATCCCGGTTCCCGTTCCCGCGGTGGATGTCGGGGCCGGAGCCGGGATCCCGTGTGGAGGACGGAGCCCGGGCGGGGCCTGGGGATGGGATTCCCACCCCCCAGGGGGATCCAGGCTCCAATTCCTCCCGGCAGGACACGGGGACAGGGACGTGGGGACATGGGGAGGAGATGTGACTGGGAGGCCTCAGGAACGGGGAACGCTCCAGAATAAACCCACACTCTGTTTGCACCCCGTGGAATGCCGGGGGGTCGGGAATGGGGGGAACCCCCCAAAGGCAAAGATTCCAGTGCTGCTCCAGCCACATGGATCAGGATTTATTCCACATTCCACTCCTGGGCTGGGTTCCTGGGGGTTCTCAGCATGCTCCCAGGGTAGATCCCATGCTGGAGGCACCAGGGATCCCCCAGGAAACAAACACAGCATCACCCCAGGAACCACGACCAGGATTTATTCCACACCCCTCTCCTGGAGCGATGGGGACACCCAGAGCAGATCCCAGTGCTGGGGGGACGGGGATTTCCCCCACTCCGGAGCAGCGACCAGGGTTTATCCCACATCCCGCCGCGGGGCATCCCCTGGATGCTATCCCAAGGCAGATCCCAGCAGCGTTCCCGGTCCGGGCAGCCAGGCAGAGCTGCCCCTCCTCCCGCCGCTCCGGGCCAGCGGAATTCCCGGCTCCCGGCCCTCGGGAGCCGCCGGCTAAATGGACTCGATCTGTTTGCGGACCTTCTCCAGCGCCCGCCGGTCCAGCACGCGCTGCCGCAGCACCACGAGCGCCGCCGCCGCCGCCGCCACGGCCAGAGCCGAGCCCACGAAGCGCCAGAAGCGCTGCGCCTCCAGCGCGGCCGAGCGGCAGCTGCGGAGCGGCCCCGGGAACGCCCGATCACCCGGGAATTCCCGGCCCCATCCCCCGGGAATTCCCGGCCCCGATGGAATTCCCAGCCCCGATCCCACAGAGCTCCCAGCCCCAGTCTGCCGGGATTTCCCAGCCCCGATCCGCCAGGAATTCCCAGCCCCGATCCCACAGGAATTCCCAGCTCAAATCTCCCGGGAATTCCCAATCCCAGAGGATTTCAGAGACCTGATGCCCCACGAATTCCCAGCCTCGATCCCCCCGGGAATTCCCAGTCCCAATCCCCTGGGAGTTCCCAGTCCCAATCCCAGAGGAATTCCCGGTCCCGATCCCCCGGGAGTTCCCGGTCCCACCTCTTGTACTCATCCCGGTGGGACGAGGCACAGTTGATCTTCTCGATGAAACCGGTGGGGCCGCAGGCCGGGATCGTTTTCTGCCAACCGGGAACGGAGCGGTCGGTCAGGGGGAGACCCCCGGGCCAGGGGGAGACCCCAGCCCGCCCTGGGACCCGCACTCACCATCTCGAAGCCGGAGCACCGCGTGCACTCCTGGGCAACCACGAACTGCTCCACTCGCCAGCACGGCGTGGCCACCGCGGGGCTCGCTGCGGGGCGATCGCGTTACCGGAGAGCCGGCCGGGAGCGCCCCGGGACCGGGCAGAGCCCCAGGCCCGGACCAAGACCCCGCTACCGGACAGACCCCTCCGGCTGAGCCTCCCAGACCCGGTTCTACCCCAGTCCAAGCCCCCGAGACCGGACCGAGCCCCTCGCATCCCGCTCCGAGCCCCCGGGACCGGACCGAGCCCCCGGGACCGGACCGAGCCCCCGGGACCGGACTGAGCCCCCGGGACCGTTCCAGACGCCGGCCCGGTCCTGCTCACCGGGCCGCTCCTCGCTCGCCGCCGCCGCCGCCGCCGCCGCCGCCGCCGCCGGGCTGTGGGCACAGAGGCGCTACCGTGAGGGCCCGCACCGGGCCCGCCCCTCACACCCCCCGGTCTTCCCCGGTCCCCGCTCACCGCAGCCCGCCCGGCACCGCGCTCAGCACCGCCAGCAGCACCGTGAGGCCGCCGGGCCCCATCGGGGCGCCGGGATCTGCCGGAAAGCCCCAGGAACCCCCGGGATCCTCCGGGAACCACCGGGAACTACCGGGCCCGGCCCCGCCGCCACCGCGGAGCCGCCATGTTGGAAGTGCCGGGGAAGGGGGCGGGGCCTGGCGGGGGTGCTGGGCTCAGCCAATGGGAGCGAGGGGCGGGGCTAGAAGGCCATAAAGGGGCGTGGCTTGCCCATAACCGACGCTACTCTAATTGATGAGGGGCGTGGCTACGGTGGGGGGCGTGGCTCTGTAGTGGGCGTGGCGTGAATACAAATTCGGTATTGTGGGCGTGGCCTGGGCGCGGCCTCGCCGCCGCTCGTCCCGGTCCCGGTCCCGACTCCGATCCCGGTCCCGGTCTGGCTTCCGATCCCGGTCCTGATCCCGATCCCTGTCCCGATCGCAATCCCCATCCTAGCCCCGGTCCCGACCCCGATCCCGGTCCCGTTCCCGACCCCGGTCCCGGTCTCGATTCCGATTCCGGTCCCAATCGCAATCCCCATCCTAGTCCCGGTCCTGATCCCAACTCCGATCCTGATCCCGATCCCGGTCTCGATTGCAATCCCGGCCCCGGTCCCGATCACAATCCCCATCCCGGTCCCAACCCCGATCCCGGTCCCAACTCCGATCCCGGTCCCAACTGCGATCCCGGTCCCGATCGCAATCCCCATCCCGGTCCCGGTCCCAGTCACAACTCCCATCACGGTCCCGGTCCCGGTCCCGGTCCCGACCCTGTTCCATCCCCTCCCAACCCCTGTCAAACAGACTCCGGAGCCGGGACAAGGCACAGCGGGGCTTTATGGCACAAGGAGAGAGGGGGGCAGCCCCAAATCCCCCCGAATTCCCCCCCAGATCCCTCCGGAGAGGCGCCTGCGCTGCCCCGGGGGTCTCGGGGAGGTCCCGAGCCCCTATCCCAGGGAGCATCTCCCGCCGGCCTTCCGGGGGGGCCCGGGCTCCAGCAGGGCCCTGCTGCTGCTGCCAGGGGGCTGCGAAGAGAGGGGGAGTCAGGGGGGCGCAGGGGGTCCCTGGCCTGGCCCCCCACCCCCCCAAATCCCAGCCCCACTCACGCCTTTCCGGAAGGATTTGTGCAGGATGTCCCGAGCCAGCGTGCGGAAGGCCTGGGGGGACAGGGGCTGCTCAAGTCGGGGGGCAGTGCCCGGGACCCCCCAGCAGGAGGGAGGGACCCCCCT